TTTTTTTTTTTTTTTTAACAACTCGCGTAAACGCATCACTTTATTATTAAATCGAGAAAAAGCGCACCATTTTTCAATAAAATTTAAAAGAGATACATTGAAATTGCCAACGTCAAGCATTGACAATCACTCCATACCGGGCGCTTCAGCCTACCGTTCGGTCAACACACGACCACCTCAAACTACTACACAACTACAATCTATATAATTTAATGTACTATAACGAAACTACTTTTTGACATGTCTACGTCTACCCCCTCTACCTTTACTATAGCTACCGGGTTTGCCTCCTCTTTTTTTATTGACACTTACTGTCCACCCTTCGCTATCACTCTCTTCTTTTTCTGATTCACTCCTCTCGCCCTGCTTACCCATAATCCGCTTTTTACCTTCTTTTATTTCTTCTCCTTCAGATGATGAGACCACGAAAGGATTAGTATTAGAGAGCACAAAAGGATAAATACTTTTTTTTCCAGGCGTCAGTCTCTTTGAGCAAGAAGCGTTTACATTATTGTATTCGTGCATCTCAACTGGAGTCATTTTTTCAAATATATAATTTTAATTTTAACGCTCCTTTTAATAATGAGACTAATCGCTACACAAAACTCTTAAAGCAACCAATGAAGACTTAAGAGCCGAAAATGAAAATTTGATTATTTTATTAGAACTTTTCCCATATTCTTTATTTTATTTACGAATTTTGTAGTTGTTTTCTTCCCTGATTTGCAAGCCTAATTACCCAGGACCTTCTAACTAAGCCGTTTACTGTGAGAACAACTACATTTCACTTATAATAAGCAAGTTATTTAGGAATAACATTTGAACCTTTCTTTTCTTTTCTTTTTTAGGAACGGTTTTTCAACTTGATCTCGGTGTGTCGATGATACTGGAGAGGTTTCGTGTTTCTCTTTTCAGGAATGACAATAACATTCCTCCTTTCTTTTTTTTAAAAGGAATGGATTCTGTCTAGACTGAAACAATTTAGGTAAGTATTAGAGGGATTTCTTGTTTCTTCTTAATTTTTTTTCTTTCTAGGAACGGCATTGACTGTTCCTTCCCTTTTTTAGGAGCGGGTTCAGCTCGGGCTTCTTAGAATGGCCTTAGGTAATATTGGAAGGGTTTTTTTTAATCTTTTTCTTTCCAGGAATGGTATTGACCGTTCCTTCTTTAATTTTTTTTCTAGGAATGGCATTAAATATCCCTTCTATCTTGTGACTTGGACTTTGACCTTCTTGGAATAATCTTACATAAGTTTTGGGTCTTTTTTTGTTTTTTTCAGTTCTTTATTTTTTTTTGAACAGGCTTGACCATTCTTAACTCATTGGCATATGGTTTATCAATTAATTTCCTACAGATGGAGCGTTATCTAGCATTATGACAGATAGTTTTAGATCAGTATTAATTATTTATTAATAAACTTAAAAATTTATAAACAACATCATAAAAAATTTCTTTGATTTAGACTCTGATTTCAATAATGCATAAAATTTTTTATTTTTTTATTTGAATATCAAGATTATTAAGATTCTTGACTAGATTCACCATGAATTGAATCTAAGTGTTTACCATTTCGTTTCAAAAATATTAACTTTTTGAAAAAATTAGGACACGTCCTAGCTCTTTTTGCAGTTAATATATTGCCAGCATCGGAGAACAGTCTTTCGCTTGCAGTTGAACATGCATAAACTGCTAAGTATTTCTTAGCAAGACAAGTCAAGATTGGAAACTTTTCTTTTCGCTCATACCACCATGCAAATGGATCACCTTCTAAATCAATTTCCTCTAATTGTAAATAATTACCAATCTCATCATCGGCCGGAATAATTTTCTTCTTTAAGTCTGCAAAAATAGTATATGCTTTTTTGTTTTTTTTCCTATTATCATCTACATTTATAGGTAATAATAAATCATCATTTGAACCTTGAAACTTTAATTCTTTATATTTCTTTTCCAACAAATCTTTAGCTGCATAACGTTCTGAATCAGAAATAAAGCTAAGATCTTTCATTCTTGGATCAAGTAAAGTGGGAAGAAGTTTATCAGGTGATGTAAGATCATTCCAATAATAATTCATCGCTGTGAAAAGACTGAGTTTAATTTGATCAATTAGACCATAACAATTAACAGGATTATTAATCTGAGTTCTTTTATTATTAGTCAACAATTGTCGTTCATTATCCTCTATTACAGCTTGCAGTTGTTCATTTTCTTCTATTGCCATATCTTCATAAAATGCTGTATCATTATCACCAAAATTAATATTAATTTTTTCAGCTGCTGCAACACCACGTGATGTTGAAGGATGAAACCTCTTTTTGATGTTAATTAATATAGGATTCATCATTGAATGGGTACAATAACTACTTCCTCCTAGAAGTTCTGTAGCTTCTGCATAAGGTTTTAATACTGGAATCAAATCCTGAATTAAATCCCATTCATCTGAAGTTAACATAATACTATTTAACCTTTTATAATCTTTTTTCGAATCTAAATCATTTTTTGTAGCAAGAGTATTAATCAACATAATAATATGATTTTTAAGTTTCAAAAGCCGCTGCCAAGCTAAATACGATGAATTCCATCGTGTTGGTGAATCAGATATAACATGAAGAAGATATTCAGATGTCTTTTCAGGATTCTACATTATATACAAAATTTTAATATAATTTTTTGAATATTAAAAAAAATAATAATAAAATTATGGCAAAATACTTACAATATTTTCCTTTCTAAGATCATTATTTAAATCTGGAAATTTTTTCTGGATATCTTCTAAACGCTCACTCTGCTTTGGACGTAAAAAAAAATCGATAAGACATTTTGCACGTGCTATTAATACCTCTGCGGATTTCATACCCTTCCCAACAACAAACTGTAGCGTATGAGCTGTGCATCTTAGCCAATTAACATTTTTCATATCTAGAATTGCTTTTTTGACATTAGAACCATTATCTGTTGTTGCAGTAAATACCAATTCACGAATTTTCCATTCCTTCAATACTTCCTCAAGCGTTTCAAGAATATGTTGAGAGGTATGTGGATACCTTACGTAGGCTATATCCAAAGTATATTCGTGCAATTCAAATGAATTATTAATAAATGAACAAGTAATTCCAAGAAAGCCTTGGCGGTTCTTAGCAGTCCAAAGATCCAAAGTCAAGGATACCAATTTGGCTTGATCTCTAATAGTTAGTTGCAATTTTGGAAAGGAAAAATTAAAAGCATCATGAATAATACCCTTTACAGTTTCTGGACAAGGCATAACAAAGGTAGGATTTAGTTGATTAATCAATTGGCGGAATTTTAGATTTGCAACAACGCTAATCGGTTGGATATCATCAACTATCCAATCAACAAGATATTGCCGGGATTCCTCTTGATTTTTTGCTGAATAATGTTTATGACTCTTTGTAACTTGATTATCTGGATCTTTTGGCTAAATTTTTAATAATTATTTGAAAATATGTTATTAAATAAAGAATTTATTATTGCAATAACAGATGAGAAATATTTAACAAACCTTATTGTTTTTACCATCTTTAGTGATATCATGCTTATTTCTTAAATGATTTATTGCATTACCAGTAGACCCACTACTCTTGATATATATTTTTCTACATGGTGTTTGATTGGAAGCATCAATAACTTTACAGATAATTACTTGACGTGATACGCCTTTTATTTCTTGTGTCTCCTCATCCCAATAAGTCCAAACCCAGCTAGTTTTTTTTGCTGTCTTAGAGTCGGTCTCATCATCATTAAGTAATGGTGCATTATTGGGACTTTCAGTTTCGTTAGGTGGTGGTATATTCATTTTGGCTAAAAGTATTTCGTCAAGTTTGATTTAGATGATTATCATTTATAAGATAGTTCACATGACCTAAAGTATGATCTTTTCTTGTTAAAGACGATACAAAAATATCACATGATAGTAACGACAATAAAGATAATTTATCTTTTGCTGATTTGATCTTTATTCTTAAATAGAACAGTTCAATTTTCTTTATATATTATTTACAATTAAAGTAATTTATTTTAATTTTTTTGTGTTTGATTTAACAAAGCAAGTCCTAGAATGTAAGAGTAGTTAATATTATTGATCATTCTTAAAATGAAAGAACTTCGAAAAAAAAGAAAAACAATACCTAAATTGCTAAACCAGCCAAAGGAACCTAAGCTGAACCAATTTTTAAAAGAAAAAAGACGACATGGTTAATACTTAACACCCAAAGAAAAGTCATCAAAAGAGTCTCTGGACTTACTAGATCATCTAAGACAAAACAAAGGTAGCCAAACTATTTTCAACAAAAAGAAAGGAATAGTTGAATTCATTCCTAAAAAAAAGAAAGGAGCGGTTAATGCCATCTCAGAAAGAAAAAAAAAAATAAAAGAAGCAAAAAACTTACCTAAGATCGTTCTAAGAAGTTCAAGCCTAACCCGTTCCTAGAAAGAAAAAATACCTAAGATCGTTAGACCAAATCCATTCCTTAAAAAAAGAAAGAAGAATTGGTTAATTTCGTTCCAAGAAAAATCTCTGTCCTGACACTTAAATTCGCCCATGCCTTAAAAAAGTGAAGAAAAACAAAAAAAGAAACACGAAATCTCTCCAACACTTACTCCAAGAAGCCTAAGCCGTCAAGCTGAAGAACCCATTCCTAAAAAAAGTAAGAAGGAACGGTTAATGCCATTCCTAGAAAGAAAAAAAAAACTTAAAAAAAAAACAAAAACCTACCTAAAGTCATTCTAACCTAGCCGAAACTATTCCTAATAAAAAGAAAGGAATAGTTAATTCTGTTTCTAGAAACTAGAAAAAAGGAAAACTTTCTATATATATACATGTCGTTACCGTTTCTAAAAATTAAAAGAGAACAGTTAATATCGTTCATAAAAAAAGAAATACCAAAAAAAAAAGAAAAATTTAACCTCTAACGGTGGTATAAGCCGCTGTTCCCTAGTTGTTCCGTTACAAAAAAAAAAAAAGGTTTAAAAAAAAAAAAAAAAAAATTTTTTTAAAAACCTATTTAAGACGATCGGATTTGACGGATGATCCGATTTCATCCGAGTCGGATTGTCATCCGATCCGTCAATAAAATGCCCATCCGATCTATCTAATTTATCCGACGGATGACGGATATCCAAATTTGGAACGGATAATCAGTTGACGGATTGGAACTCTAAATTTAAAGATATCATTTCGATATCATTTTATTTATCATTTCGATATCATTTCATTATCGATTTAATATCGAAATGATATCGAAGTGATAATACTTTATTTCGATATCGTATCGATATTAAATTGATATTGAAATGATATCGAAATGATATCGATACGATATCATTAAGATAAACTTAACGATATCGATTCTATATCTGTCTCTTATACACATCTAGATGTGTATAAGAGACAGATTTGGTGGTGTTGGTGTTGACGAAGTGGCAATATTTTGTAGTGCTGGTGTTGACGGCTCAGCAATATTTGGTGGAGGAGTATTTGGTTTCGATAGTTTCTTACGAGTCATTATTGGTTTTTTTTTTCAAAAGAAAAAGAAAGAGATTTTTTGTACGAACGAGGAAATTGGTCCACCTTTTATATCTATTTTTTACTATCAAATTAGACTCTCAACAATCAACGATCAATTACACTTAAACATTTGTATCAAATTAGACTCTCAACAATCAACGATCAATTACACTTAAACTTTCGCATCAAATTAGACTTTCAATTAATTAAACAGATCAAATCAGACTTAAACTTTTTCATCAATCAGACTTAAACTTTCGCATCAAATTAGACTTTCAATTAATGAAACTGTTAAATCAAATTAAATAGTATGGTGATACGTATGTTTTATTTTTAAATTCCTATACTT